CACCCCCTTCCTCCTCCGCTGGGCCCAGCCCTGCCCACCCTTGGCAGGAGCTATGCTTTGGCTTCTCCCATGAGCCATGAGAGCAGGAGGTTCCAGGCCAACCCACAGTCCCCACCCTACCCCCCAAATCACTCTGTCCTCAAACCGTTGGCTCCCTCCCTAATTCAGCCCCTCCTGGCCCACAGCTGAGAGCCTTGTAAACCTCTCGCGCCCCTGCTCAGAAACCGCTGACCATCCCTTACTGTGAGCAAAGCCCAACATCCTCTCAAGGCCACACCAGGGCCCTGACTTACCAGCCCAGGCCGGGCCCCACCATGGCCTCCAGGAACACGCGGGGAACATTCAGCGCAAGAGCCTGGCCCCCCAGAGCTCCACAGACATCATAGGTGGGGGCTGGGAGCTTCCCTCCCTCTGGGCTGTAAGTGCTGCAGACCCATGGCTGCATCTTCCTGTGCCTTGACCTCCACCCCAACCTCAGAGCCAGGGCACGCGCAGACATTCGCCAGGTGCGGTGGAATCGCTGGGGAGAAGCCGGCTCCTGCCCAAGGTCAGGCTGTCCTCTGGCCTCTGGCAGCACCCCTGCTGACCCAAGGTGGGGGTCTGAAGGGCTCCAGGGGACAAACCAGGCCCCCTAGTTTCCCCCCATGGCCAAGGCCACCAAAGCTGGGGTGACTTTTCCTTTTAGGACTGGAGAGGAGGTGTCAGTAGCAATTTATGGGGCTGGTTGAGATTCAGAAAAAGGTTGAGAGAAAATCACTTGGTTGCCTGTCACATAAAATGAGAACAGAAAACTTACTGGGCAGTAAATTTAGAACAAATAAAAAGATATTTCTTTGTGTTGTGCAGAGCCGATGAAGCGGGGGAGGGGAACTGCGTGCCTCCCTGGAGATAAGTAATAGGGGCAGGTTTTCTTTTTTCTTTTTAAAGAGCAGCTTGATTTTATGACCAATGACAAGTGTGCTGTGCGTGGTTTGGCCCAGGGTGGGGAGTAGGGACCCTCCATCTGCCTGGTCCAGCTGTGCTTGTGCTGGGAGGGATGAGCCTGAGGAAGGCAGGGATAGCCCAGAAAGTTCCATGAAGGGCCCAGGGCCAAGCTCAATTACGTAACTGATTACGTATTTACTGAGCATGCACTCTATTTCGGGGGGCTATGATACTGAATTAGAAGGAGCCCGGGTTGGGCGTCAGCTGGGTTCTACTTCTTCCCCTTCCACTAGGTAGCTGTGTGGCCTTGGGCAAATCATCTCACATCTCTGGGCCTGTTTCTCCATCTGTAAAACGGAGGGCAATCCTATCTACCCTAAGGGTTGTGGCAAGAATCAGTGAGATGGCGGTTTATGCAGGAAAGCCATGCTCCCAGCTCAGTTGCAAAATGAGATCTGACCCCAGGAGCCTTTTTCCATCCAACTTGGGCCTCCACGGCCATTCTGTGGCTCCTGCACAAGGCAGATTCAGCAAACCAGAGAAGAAAGAGGATTCGGCCTGATTTCCCACCTCCACCCCACCTTCCCGGGTCTAATGTGTAACCCATCTCCTGGGTGCAGCCTCACCCCGCAAGGGAACCCCCACATCTGGACAGACACAGCAAATACGGACACTGAAGCCTCGCTGGGCTGGAGTGCATCCCACTGTTGCTGGTCTGACGTCTTCGTGTAGGTGCCCAGGACAGCCAGGCCTCATGCATGGGGAGGACACCAGGCTGAGACTGAGTGTCTGCAGGTGACTCAGGTTAGTCCAGGGCAAAGCAGGTCCCTGATGTCACCCCCAAAAAGCAGGCTGCAGCCACCAAGGAGCTGGCCCTACACACTTAGACACATCCAGCCCTGGAGCGGGATTTGCACACTCGGGCCCTTCCAGCAGTGGAGCAGGGTTTGCACACCCAGACACTTCCCACCATGCAGTGGGGTTTGCACACTCAGGCCCTTCCACAGTGAAGCTGGATTTGCACACCCAGGCACTTCCCACCGTGCAGCGGGATTTGTACCCTGGAGAGGAATGGGCCCCACCTCTACCCACAGTGGTTCACAGCCATGAGATCACCAACCAGCATGCTCACTGCGATTCCCCTCACAAATTTGTGGGAGCTCCAATGGCCGTGGCTGAACTGGGCACCTGAGTTCTGGTTATTTCCCAGTCCCCCAGGAGTGTCACTCACACCGCCATCCACCTGGTAGGCACGGAGACATGGGCCAGCCGGCTACAGCCCCACAAGGAAACCTCGTCTTCCAGGAGGTGAGGGATTAAGCTGACAAAGAAACCCAGCAGCACCCCGCCTTTGAAAACCTTCCCAGTGGGGTGCAGAGCAGGGCTGTGCTTGGCCTCCTGCCCACACATAAGGGACTGCGCTGCTCACTGAGGTGACAGACTGCGCTGTGTGCCGCGCGGGACGCTGCCGCGTGGTGACCTGTGGGGTCCCCCTCCCACGCTCTTCCAGAGGCTCTCACATCCTCTCCATGCTGCTGCGGCGCGGGCCCCGGGGACCAGGCCCCCAGACCCCATCCTTCCGGCCCGGGCCTCCCTGAGCCCCTCTGCCTCCCGCCCCGAGCCCAGGGTGTAACCTTTGGGTCCGAAGCCCCCATGGTGTCGCCCTGGTTTTTACTTTCAGCCTAAGAAGCTGGGAGACGCCCAGAGGAGACCCCAGGGGCGACCAGAGATGATCAGAGTCTCTCCACGTGGTTCGTCGCGTGTAAAAACGTTACGTCTTATTATGGAGAGCGAGCCGAGCCCTCCGCGCTCCACCCTTGGTCCATTCCTAAAAGTTTCATGGCACCGACCATCCCAGCCGGATTCTGGGGCCCCGGGGAGCCCGGGGGAGGCACTGCCTGTGGAGTCCGGTTCTCTGGGTGTCGGCAAGCCGTGTGTGTGTCTGTCTCCCAGCCAGACGGAGCTTCCAGGAGGGGAGAGCAGGCCTCGGTCAGCCTGGTGCTGCCGGGGCCCAAAGCCGCGCACAGCTCGTGCCCATCGCCCCAGATGGACCCCCTCTCGCCCGCCCCGTAAGGGTACCTCCCATTTGAACCCCAAGTCGTACTTTTAAAATGGCTTCCTGTGCCTGATGGAGCTTGATTCTCATGAAGCCCATGAGGTAGGCGGGGGTTTATTACTGGGCCGCAGGGTTTCTTTGTGGGGGGAATGAAGCTGCTCCCCCGGCCACCTGCCTGTGGGTGGTGGAGCTGGATGGGATTGTGGGGTCTCCTG